ATCTACGATTGATTATTTTTCATCCCCGCAGTTTACTAATAAAATTGCAAATGAAGCAGTTAATCGCATTAATCTTACGAGAAATGTTTTTATAAGAGCTGTACCGGAAAAGGTAAGAGATGTCCAAATTAAAACAGATTATGATAATTCTATTATCCAAGACATTTTGCAAACTCTAGAATATGACCAGAACCCGGTTAAACTCTTTTGTGTTGGCAAGGAAAATAACAAATTTTCCAGAATGATTAAAGTGATAATGCATAACGAATATGACGCAAGACATATTTTACGAAACAAAAAAAAACTTCTAGAAAAAGTAACCACTAAAAAATTAACTATTATCGATGATAAAACCACTAATCAAATCGAATGTCCAAAATAATTAAGGTCCTAATTTGAGTCAAAGAAAAATAATGGAGAGCAGGACCTAACAATAAAATATATACATGGTGTCCCAAGATTGTGAAATTTCGCCAATAATCTCGATAAATTTTGTTTTTACGACTGGCTCTTTTTATATACGAATTTGGCAACCCTCAACTCTAAAATTTAATGAATTATTATGCTCTCTATAAGATTTGAATCCGAAATGTATTCTTATTACGGAAACATGGTCAACATCAAATGATTCTGATTCCATGTATGATATTTTGAATTAATCTCTATACAGATGCGATCGAAGGGATCGTCGCGGTGGAGGTATCTGTATTTATTTACCATCATATATTAAACAACATCACAACATTTTGTGTTACTTCATGACATCAGTGTCCCAAATATGGATTTATTAGTGTTAAAAAGTTATTCTAACACTTTCACTATTCATTAGGTCCTGGAGATTCTCAACTAGTTGAAGACACAGTCCTTATTGAAAAACTTGAATACCTATCTTCACTATAAAATGTGGTTAATTCTATAAATAAATTTTTAAACTTTGTTCTAAACTCTAATCTACAACAACACGATTCAGAGTCAACAATATTCCTTCTACGCTAGATTTGTTATTTGTAAATGATAAACAATTATTAACAGACCATATTATTCAATCTCCAATAGGTATTAAGTCCTATACAGTTCACCATAGAGAACCCATCTTACAAAGATCATACTACATCATATGAAATCGTCGATTTTGATAACTTAAATCGTCATCAATCTACCATCGATTGGATGATTCGGGAGATCCTGTGGAAGTAAGGAATAAGTTCACAACCGTTATTTCTACTGAAAAAAAAGCAGGTGTTTTACAAAAATAAAATAAAACCGTGGATAAATGGAGTACTAATATCCTTGATTAGACATAAAAGTAAATTATGGCGTAAATATAAGTGATCAAATAATATTGCCGATCTAGAACTTCACCAAAATTTTTTTTCCTAAAGACCTAAAGAAATCTATAAATGAGGCCCGAGAAGAATATGAAGAGATAGGATGCAGTGACAACTATAAAAACTTATGCAAATGTATTCGATTTTCACTGTCATCAAAAGCATCTATCTTTATTAAACAAAGAAGATGGAAGTCCCTGTCAAACTAATTTCGAAATGGCCGAACTTCTTACTATTACCTTTATAAAAGTTTTCTCCAATAAACCACTCTAGGATCAATTACCAGATATTTTACCGGTAAGAATCCCTTCTTATGGAGCGGTTGTTTGGTTGCCAAAAGTAAACCAGAAAACAGCACTCAATACCCTCTCAGGAGTACAGAGGCTGGTATGCTTTTGTATTACCGGAGCACTGAGAAGTACTCCGACAACCTCTATGGAAATCATTCTAAACCTCCCACCCCTTGACCTAGTCATAAAGGGGAGGCCAGAATGAGTGCATACAGACTGGAAATCTCCAACAACTTGAACCCACTGGGACTTATAAAACATACCAGAATAACACATAAAGTAAATGATTCTATATTAAATATGGGATCAGATCACATGACATCCCTCCTAACCTTTAACAGACTCTTCCAGGTCAACTGTAACTGGAACGAGGTAAATAAGGAGATAGATAAATACTTGCTTATCGGTCTCGTATGGTATACGGATGGATCTAAAACTAACAAGGGAACAGGCTCTAGCGTACATGGAGTTAAACCCAAATGCGACATCATCGTCTCACTGGGAAAACATACCACTGTATTTCAGGCTGAAATACATGCAATCGAATTGTGTGTACGAGAGAATTTAAGAAGGAAGTACAAAAAATAAACCATTCTAATTCTCTCAGATAGCCAAGCAGCCTTAAAGGCTCTTGATTCAAACATAATCAAGTCAAAGCTGGTCTGGAACTGCCTTGGAATACTAAATGATCTGGCAACCCACAACAAGGTAAACCTAGCGTGGGTACCAGGGCACAAAGGTATCCAAGGAAATGAAAAGGCTGATGAACTCGCCAAAGAGGGATCAGATCTACAATTCACAGGACCCGAACCTGTATTTGGGATAAGCAAAACCTCTGCTCGACAGGCAGTGAACAGGTGGATAACCACAAAACACCAAATTCACTGGCAACAGATAAGAGGGCACAGAATTAGTAAGCTCATGCTAAGGGGACCAAACCCACGCATGGCTACTAAGTCACTACAACCATCAGATATCAAATTTTATCAGTCGTATAAAGAATAAAGGTACTTTACTCTTGGGCAAAATTCATATTTTTTGACAAACCTCGTATACCACTGAAAAAATTTGATATTTGATGACTGTATTCTAGGATTTAGATAATGCAGAACTTTTTATCAAGAACAACTTTTTTCCTAAAATTAATAATAAAAAAGTTTTCCATATGATTCCAACCTAGGGGAACATACTGTATATTTTACACGTGAAAACTGATGCACGCAGAATGTACTACATCTAGTACAATTGTGAATTGTACTAGACTGGCAACACTGGTTTGGCAACCTTGCTTGTGAGCGGCGCGCCAATTAATGTGTTTTTTTTGCTTTGACTTTGGATATTGATCCTTTAGCCACACACAACATTTAAATGTTTAATTGGTTACATTCGACTTAAAAGACACACACACACACAAAATTTGCACTATTAGAAAGTAAAGAAGTTATACATCATGACAATTAAAAAAATTTTGGAGATTATCCACGATTAAGCGAGAAATTTAATATTAAAATCTCAAAAAATGCACATTTTTAATCAAATATTTTGATTTATGTGTACAGGGTTGCCAAGTATTTTAATATGTAAGAAGATATAATTAATTTGTAAACTCGTAAATTATTATACTTTTGTGATTTGTTTATTTAAATAAAAATAACAGATTTTTGTGATAAAATACCAGAATCTGTATTAAACATCGCTCCCCGGCCCCTAACACAGATCAAATAATAATATCTGTTCATATCAGCTCATACAATTGTTTTAAAATTAAACAGCAATCTTTTGTAAGTTTTTATAACTTACTGACATTTCACATGACATTTTTGAGTAATTTCTTGAAATACAATGTTACAAAATCATTTTATTTGACTCATTCAACATAAAAGTTCACTCTAAATTATTCGCTACCCGATCATACTGTTAATACCCAGACTACTTAGTTTTTTAAATTTTACGGGTAACGGCCGAAATAGTAACAAGTAATAAATTAATCTTGGCAACCCCGCTTATTATCCAGAAAAGAAATGTCAAATATTAAAATTTTCAAGTTTTAGGTTAAATTTAATGGAAAACTCGTTTTCTTATTTTAAAAAAGTATTAAATTAAAATATATAATTGATTTATACTTTTTTCGTATTTCCAGACCTAAGGTGAGTTAAAATCATACTTAATATCAAAAAAATAAAGTAAAACTGGTCAAACAGTGTGTCCCTAAAGTCGAACGTAACCGTTTAATTAAATAATTAACCTAAATAAATGGAAATTTTATTTATTGAGATAAATTCTACTATTAAGTTGTAAATTTCTTTATTCTCCGTTGCCAGTAAAACTTGAATGTTGGTGGGAAATTGTAAATTTAACTTATTTAGTTTGTCCATGAAGTTAGCAGTTCCTGGATTTATTTTACAATTAAAAAACAGGTGATTCAAATCAGCAATTTCATTATCATGTTGACAAATAGGCGACTCTATTATTCCTATCTTATGCAAATGGGCCGGGAAACATCCATGGTTGATCTTAAGTCGTGTAATGATAGATGAGTATTTTTTGAAACATTAAATAGAAATATGTGGAGAACCGGTTTTGGTAAATCTTTATGGATTAGAAAATAGGGGTTAGTAGAATTTATGGCTATCTCTGACCATTTTTCCTTCCATTTTTTTGATTATATTTAGTTTATAACCATGTGGAAACGGTTAAACAACTTGAATAAAAATGAATAGATAAATTTAAATTTGAAAATATTAATAATACTAAGATTATGATTTAGCAAGTTGTAAATATCCCGAAATATCTAATTTTGGGAGTGAGGATGACCAGGAACTTGTTGGATACGTTGTGGACAATAAGCACTGATGATGGCAAATAAGCCGAAAGCACTTTGCATTTATTAATTAAAAAGTTTTGCACGAAATACAAGTCTTTCCTTTTGAAAAATAATAAAATTAAATTTATATTTTTATGTTATTTATGTAATTTTAAAATAATGTGTTTTTATGAAATTTAACTGGGCGTTCACTGCACAAATGAACCAATGGAGAACCGCCCCTGGCCATCTTCGATTCTCAAGCCCCTCAAAAATGAACCATCTGATATTTTCTGAAACAACGTTTTAACCAACCTTCTAAATATATTCTGGACCTTGTGATTTAATTTTGTTCTACACGACCTAATGATGACGAGTTAGTCGAAATTAGAATCATCTACAATTATTAATAGTATAATATAATTATTTATTTACCAAATTGGCTCTTAATAGCATCATTAAGAAATCTAAAGCGGACCGTACACTACGATTCTAATTTCTCAAATTTCTTTGCCTTATTAAATATTAGCATACTCGTATTTTTGTAAATTTGTAAATTATATTTATATTTGATTGTAGGTGTTGTCTTCTGTATGCAATGCGGAAGGTCATACAAAAACCTCCAGACTTTAAGGATGCACGTCAAATTGGATTGCGGTAAATCCAAGAGTTTTAAATGTCCCATTTGCGAAAAATCCTTTAGAAGAAATAGAAATATGCAACAACACATTTTGAGGATGCATAGCAATAATATTGTCAATAATATTCTGTCATTTTAATACATACCTGATCAGAAAACTGATATTTATGACAATATGATTTATTTGATTTTATTGTCTATTAAAAGTGAACATGTCTTATGCTTTTTTAATATTTATTTTATTTATTTTAAATAAGTATTTTTGGGTTAAAAACTGTTAAACAAAGTCTTCTACAAAATCCCATTAAAGTTAAAAAATCCAAATACAATATTGTTAAAATGTTTGGTTATTCTTATTATATTTAATTTCTTTAAGGTTTAGAGGTCTAGGATTTTTATAAGAGTTTAAGACTTAGTTTGGAGAGCTTTTTCCCGTTTACATTATAGAGTAAAATTATTCCACTATTATTTGAGATTATTACCTCTATTTTAGAGAAATAATTAAACTTAAAGCATCCAGAACAAAAATTATAAGCAGGAGCCATATTCACTTTTATTTTCATTTTAGTTTTTATAGAAACTTTGTACTAATTTATAATTATTTTTACTATTACACCAGAAATAATGATTTATTTAAAAATGCTCTAACTTTCAAATGCAGAGACTGATTTATTTGAATTTTTTAGCAACTTTTAGATAAAATACTGTAGTTTTAAGATTATTATTCGGACATCTAAAAGTAATTTAGTACTCGCCGCATATACAGGAGAGAAGAGAAAACAATTTTTTCCTCTACTTTTGACACACCCTGTAGGTTAATTCTGCTATTAGATCTGCACACAATTAACTTTATCAAGAAGACTGATTTGTTTCCAACATTTTGGTTTTTTATTTACCCCGATATCTTAATTTGTTTGTGAATTGTGACGGTTTAAAGAAAATGCTACATTTTAGAAACGGTCATAATTTAAATGACGGTAGAGAATAAACTACAAAATAAGTAGAGTGCTGTGGCCAACTCACAATATGACAACTGTCAAATATTGGTTACTTGGCAATTGCAGTTTAATTATCAGCATTAGACATTTTCATTATCAGCATAACATTATGGTTTTAACCCCTACTGATGCAGCACGAGCAGTTGCTCTGGTACAAGACGGTAGGTCTTAGTATTATGCTTCTAGAATATTGGGTGTTACAAGATGTAGCGTCCAGACAGCTGTATAACGTTTCAATGAAACTGGTAGTTTTTCGAGACGAAGAGGATCTGGCAGACGACGTTCTACAAATGTTCGAGATGATCGTTTTGTAACATTAAATGTTTTGCGAGAAAGAAATACTACTGCTGTCATGGCTCGAAATCGTTTAGAAGAAATACGTAAGCAGCTGTTAACGAAATAACGATTCGAAGGCGATTACGAGAACATGGATTACGCTCCAGAAGACCTGCAACTGGTCCGGAGTTACTTAGGAATCACAGAACAGTGCGTCTTCGATTTGCCAGGGTACATCAACATTGGAATGTCGATGACTGGAGTAAGATTTTATTTTCTGTCGAGTCAAGTTTTGGTTTACGTTCTCCTGATGACCGTGAAAGAATATACCGAAGAAGAATATACCGAAAGAGGCGAAAGGTTTGACCAAGCAAATTTTTCCACAAGACTCAGTTATGAAGGAGGATAGGTAATGGTTCGGGGCGGCATAAGCATGGAAGCTCGTACTGATTTAGTCATAGTTGGCGGCGGAGCAATGACAGCTAACCGATATATTCGTGATGTGCTAGATCCACATGTAATTCTATTTGCACCGTTTATAGAAAATGAATTCATGTTTATACATGACAACGCTCGACCACATATTGCGAGGATTGTATCTCAATATTGGGACAGAACAGAAATTCAAAGGATGAACTGGCCATCACGTAGCCCAGACCTCAATCCAATTGGGCACGTCTGGGGCATGATGGACAGACGAGTTCATAACCGAGTTCCTTCTCCAAGTAATTTAAATTTTTTAAGAGATGCTTTGGTCCAAGAATGGGATCAGATTGACCAGATGGAGATTCGACATCTAATAGAGGGTATGCCACGACGCATTGAGGCAGTTATTCGCGCTCGTGGGGGAAATACCCGTTATTTTTTTTTGTGTCATCGGCATCAACTGCTGCGGTTATTAGCCTCGTGTTCTATGTAGGCTTTGTTACTGTTTCCCAGCGCCACTTTAGGAACAGCACTGTTAATTAGTACCCAACAGTGAATGATCGAGTGGGGAATCCTACCAAGGCATCAGAATTAATTTTAAATAATTAAATTAAATGAAAAAATCCCGGCCAACGGTGGGATTCGAACCTGGGACCCTTGGATCCGCAGACAGAGACTCTACCACTGAGCCACCCACCCCCACCCATTATTAATTTGTAATAATTATTTGTTGTTTGATTTGTTTATAAAATTATGTATTACTCTGCTAAAACTGAATAAAAAAATTAAGAATGTTGCATTTTCTTTAAACCGTCACATTTCACAAACAAATAAAAAAACAAAATGTTGGAAACAAATCAGTCTTCTTGATAAAGTTAATTGTGTGCAGATCTACTAGCAGAATTAACCTACAGCGTGTGTCAAAAGTAGAGGAAAAAATTGTTTTCTTTTCCCCCCTGTATATCCGGCGAGTACTAAATTACTTTTAGATGTCCGAATAATAATCTTAAAACTACAGTATTTTATCTAAAAGTTGCTGAAAACTTTAAATAAATCAGCCTCCGCATTTGAAAGTTAGAGCATTTTTAAATAAATCATTATTTTGAATGGATCGAATTTTAAGTCGGTGAGTGTATTTATCAGAATCATGTTTAATTTTTTTTTAATTTCTGTTAACGAACTGGAACTATATATGATACAAATTTAAATTCAATGAAACTATTTCTTTATTGTTAATAAAATATATACTTTTATATATGTTTTTGTTTTTTTTTTTTTAATATTTGTCTAATATTTATGTAATATGAAATTTATTCTAGATTTTTCAAATTTTTATTTCGCATTTTGGTATATGCTGCCGACCGCCCTTTGGAAATCAATAAACAGTTAAATAGAAAAATTACAAAAATGACTGTCTACAAAATTTTTGTAAATCATTTAAAACATTTCCTTATGAATTATGATAATTTGTATAGTGTTCTGTATAGGTTTTGTTAATGTTTACTATCTTCTATTTAAAACATCTTAAAAGTCTAATGAGGCAATCTATGCATGATAATTAATTTCTAATTTACATAAAAAAAACTCTATTGGCCCAAGGCGGATTCAAACCAGGAACCACAAGACTCTACTAAATCTCAAACCTTACTATTCACTAAAATTTTGTACAGTTCAGAAATCTATAACTGACTCAACTTTCTAACGATTAACCAATAAACTGATCTAACAATGTTATTTATATTTTTATTCTGATTTTTATCATAATTTTTAGGTCCAGTGGCGTGCCCGAAATGCGATAAACTGTACAAAAACGCCAACAGTATGAATTCACACTTTTATCAAGACTGCGGACGTGCTAAAAGATTTTCTTGTTCGTTTTGTCCAGCTTGCTTTAAGAGAAAACAACAACTTTTGGTACACATGTCCAGAAAACATCAGTATTATATGCCCTGATTCTGCTTTATATACACAGTGTTATAAATTGGCAACAACGTTAGGTGTTTGAATTAATTCCCTCTCTTCATCTAATCAAGATCAAACACCAGCATTTATACAGTGTGGATATCTATCGAACAGATGGAGCTAGTAAAAAGAGGCTATTTTAAGACAGTACTGAAATTATTATCGATCATTTTGGTCCTACAAGTTTTAATGGATTTCGTCGTTCTATCATTCTTTTTTCAAGTCTTCCGCAATGTCTGTTTTGACTGATCAAATTCCTAGATTTTAAAATTTGTAGTCAACATCTGTTATATCTGTTGGCTAGAAGAATACACTTTATTTTAGCTAACATACTTTGCTGATGTTACCAGTGCTCCTTTATGTGCGCTTGATTGATTTTGTTACAATTCTGTGGGTGTTAACTCTACAAATATTTGGTGTGTTGGTGTTTATAGCCAATACGTTGTGCTCTAGTGCTGATTTTATATTTTTTTAAAGCTTTACCTTCCAATAAGATCTGCATCATTAGTAAAGGCTAGAACTTGTACGCTACATTAGATGCTTATTTAAGCCTACATGTCGCCAAAGTCTAGATCCATACTTTTTAATTTTCTCAACAAGCTTTGTCTTTTCCTATGGTATGATTTTGTAGTCTACAAACAGATATCTGTACAAACGTTGACATACCCATACACATGAAGAAATGTATTGAATTCCTAGATTTTGGGATGTGTGATTACCAAAAAATAAGATCTATTAACTAGAAGAATACATTTAATATCAGCAAATATACTTCTGCTCTTCTATATGCGCTTGCTTGATTTGGATTTTCACAATTCTATATAATATTTGGTTTGTTGGTATTTATCACCAATCTGTTTTGCCCTACTACTGATTCTATTTGTCTTTGAAAGCTTTTTTCTATATTCCAATAAGACAGGCATCAGCAGCAAAAGCTAGAACTGTATGCTTATCTAAACCTACATATAGGCAAACTCTAGAGTCATATACTTTTTCAGTCTGCATAACTTTTCGTTATTATTTTTGACAGACTTATTACAAATTGAAGTAGGCTCAGTTTTTGCATGGTCTCTTCTTATATTATCATTTTGATGTCTTCAAATCTATATAATTATTGTCTATATTATATTTCCTTATCGTTTTCTAGTATCTCTTAAGGTAGACATCTGTTCGATAGTTGACTTGCTTGCTGTAAATTTTGACTGCCAAATATCCACATACACGATAAACATTTTGTGGTTATGTTTTATTCCTTATTGTATTAATATTGAAGAGAATTAATTTCGATACCTCCAGATAAATTTCATTCGATAGAATTCTATATTTATTTTATTATTAAAACGTTTGAAATTTCGTAAACGATTATTTTTTTTTTATTTTATAATTATAGTTTATTTTCATTTTCTAGTTTAACATGCTCTGTGTATATTTCTAGAACAAATAATATTTATATATTTGTATGTTAGAATGTAACGTTTATTTTATAAAGAAAATATTTAAGTAATAAAGTATTCCTGTTTATAATATTTAACTATTATTTAAAAAAACTGCTAATAATTAGGTGATGTTTCTAGCAAATTTTAGAAATTAATACAGAATTTTTGTAAAATAGTAAATAAATTGAAAACCTTTAAAACGGGAATCCAACACTCAAATTATTACATTATTAATTTACAAAAAGTCCTGGAAGTAATTGACTTTTAACGTCCTCCATACTTTTAGGTTCTTGGGTAATAAATACGTTATGCTTATAAGATCTAATTGTGCAATGAGTACCTGTTCTTACAATTTTTCAAACACTCTACGTAATATGCGACCGTCAATTAATTTTTAACTACATTACATTTAACCCCCTTTGACTTTTTGTTAACCCTATATTTTCTAAACTAACTTCCATTGTATCTTAACTTACATTTTTCTTTCTAACCTTAATAATAAAAAATAATAGTCAGCTGGGTACTAAATATGAACTGTGATTGTCGGATTTCATTATCATTATAAAATGGATACGAAATTATATCAGTTCAGTAAAATGATAGAGATACATGTTAATTCTGTAATTTATGCAGAACGTAGATAATAAACATATGGGTGTAGAAAAAACTATAGGAACAAATAAAGTTTTGTTATGTTGGATTTTCGATTTCAAAAATTATTACGCAAAATAAAAAATCCTACACAGAAACAATGACTGCATTTAATATCATAAAAAATGGATGTAGGTCTTAAAGGTAAATAAAAACGATAGAATTTTAACTAAAAAATCGGTTTATTGGTTAAATCATAAACTAAGACCATCAACGTTTTTATTTAGTTTATTTTGAAAGAGATAATTTGACAAATCATTATTTATTAAATATGTTTGCCATTTTTATTTTTACACAATATATCATTTGAATTATTTAAAAGCTAGATTTAAACAAAATTAGTTCTACAGGTTAAATTGTAAACTTAAAATATTAACTAATAATAAATCAAGAATAAGTTGTTTGGTTTAAAAAGTAATTATTATACAGGGTGAATCCTAAGTTGATACTTTTTTAACTATGTATAGAAATTGTTTATTTTAACTTAGATTCAATTTCAAATTGCCTAAAATATCTTCCTCAAATTCGTCATTAGCTATCCGACTTGTAATATTATGAACACGTCACTAAACCCAGTAGTAAGTTTAGGGAAAAATGTTGAACAATTTACGAAAACTTCTTGTGCATGTGTAGAAAATAAATATTCTTCCGCGTAGTCGCTTTTCTAATTCAAGTCAATGTCGTATCAATGAGGGCTAACTCTACTCTTACTAGGTGGCGATACTGAGATATGAAGCCTTTCTGACAAGCTATCACAAAGCGTTAAAATCAAAGTTATTCTGTTTATGCCATGAATTTCAACTATAAACTTTTCTAGTTCTTTATCTAGTAATTTGTCCATTTTAGTCGAATACTGTTTATTAAATCCTATTGGAAACCTACCAAATAGGTTTTCTGATTTGATAAAGTGAGGTTTAATGTATTAAGACGTTGAGTTTTCAGATTTGTTGCTAGTGTAAAAAACAACTTGTTTAAATACCCATTTGTAAAAACTGATAGGTCTTTAACTACTGTGATCCATATACTATTAAGGGATGAAGGCAGCACTGTCACCAGCCAATGGATCCTGGAGTCCGGAAGGAACATCCATTCAGCAGTGGCATAATAAACAATAAAGCGGGTTTGGCAACTGGTTAAAGACTGTTAGTCCGATTTTACTGTTATTATTACATTACATAAATAAAAATAGAAATTGGGCGTCTCACATATTTTACAGCTTAAATAGGGCGATAGGTGTAATTTTCCTAAGTGGTCGTAGAAAAATGCTATTTACATATTTATTCAGGTTACGCTACGCACCAAGATTTAATTTTTTTACCAATTCTATTTACAACCATTCAAGACCTTTCAACCTTTCACATTATTGAAACTAAAAAATAATAGTCGTATAAGTGCCATTTTTTACCTCATACCATTAGTCTAAATGGAATACAGCTTACGTCTTAACCTCTTGTCTCAGTATCGCTCTCCAGAGGCAAAACAACCCTTGTTAGTCCTTATAGCAGTAGTTCGTTCTGACAATGCTTCTCAATTCGGTATGGCAATGCTTGCGAAAGCATTCTCATTACATTTCTGCATTTAATATTACATAATTATTATTTTATTTTAGAGATACTCGGCCGACATATTTGTCTAAAATGTGGATCATCCTACAAGCATCATCAATCACTAAAGCGACACCTAAAATACGAATGTGGACGACAACCTACTCATCCATGTCCTGGGTGCTATAAAAAATTCAAGTATCCTTCAGATTTAAAGATCCACATAAGTAGAAACCGTTGCTCGGGCTACAGATACCACTAGTGTTACTAATGCTTATGAAATAACATTTTAGCAATGTTGGTGTTTGGACTATAGACTTTTAAAAGATAGATGTATATTGTTTTCAAAATATATTTTTCCTCATTAAAAATAATTTTGTTTTAGTACGTAGCTAATTACCTTTTTTTTTAAAACGATCTACTGTATCTCTAAAAAGTAGAACAGCCTTCAACATGTTGATATTTGGACAAAAATTGTCCTGAATCTACACCAGAGTAATAAGGCATATTATACATAACTTATAGAGTGATGGTGTGGCGCTTATAGGTTTAACATAATGGTATAAGTCAATGATTTCCTAAATATAACTTCAAAACCACCCAAAGTAAGTATACCAGAAAGGAGGCGTAAGCAAAAAAAGACTTATTGCGCCATAATAGATCCACTCATGTACAACCTAACCTACATTTTGTCCCATCTCCACTTGTATCTGTCAAACTGACCTTGTATGTATGTATGTATGTATTTAATTTTGCTTTATAATTATTTTCTAATACATTTTCTTTTAGGTGTGAATTTTCACAAGGCAGAAGGTTTCTACTTTTGCAGCACCTGCGGGGCTAGGTATTTACATAGAAGGAGCGTCGTACGGCACGTCAATACAGAATGTCCCATTGCGTTCAGGTTTAGATGCTTCATCTGCAGCGCTAGGTTTGCAGATGGATTAAAATTGACGATACACACCAAAGAGAAGCACTGATGGATTTTAGTAATTTCGCAAGATTGATTGATGGATGAGTATTAGTTCAATTGTTTGTGTTAATAGTTTTAAAAAATTGTTTAACTTTTTTAATAAAATTTCTTATCACTAAATTTTACTTTCACTAATAATCCAGTAATATTTTAATGCCTTTCGATGTCAGTACCTTGAATTATGCAAATTATATAATTAAATGGGAATTTTCTTCAATAATTCATTTTCTGTCTGAAAATGGTAAGTTACAAAATTAAAGGCAACTAAATTATTTATAAAAAAAGGTTATGAACTGTTTTTCCTAAGTTCAATAGTTCCTGAGCAATATTCTTACAAAGATTTAAAAATTAATTTGTTATTTGTATATTTAAAGCGTACTACATAAA